TTCAGATCGCTTTTTGAAAGCTCTTGGATAAATTGGAGTTAATTGGGAGGAGTGGTAGGTGCTCATGTTGTCTGGGTAATGAGTGTGTGCACTCTTGTGTGTTAGCAACAGATTCAGTGAAAAGGGAGCTGACAACAGTGTGATGAAAGCAAAGGCTGTACATACTTTGTTTCACTGTGGCTCCATTACTCGGCTCACATGTAGGATTTCGTTTTTTAGCTTTCATTTTCTCTTCTTAAATCTGTTTTCACATGCACTTAATCACAGACATGGTGGGGTGTTGCATCATGATATTTAAATTCATATTACAAATAGACAAATTAAATGGCTTCATGCTATGATTAATAATAAGGAGGGGCAGCATTACATGTGGACTGTCATTTAAGAGGATAAGATGGTAATGGTGCTGGGTTTGTGACCCTAACATTACCTCTGGTAAATGTTGTAAACAACATTAGCTGAGGTGAATTAACATACACACATGTAGATGGTCTCCTGTAAACCTCATTGGAGTGGGAAGGATAAGCATTAATGCACATGTAGAAAATCACTTCGGCAAGACTTAATCATGCCAAACGATTTCAGTGGGAAGGTATTTGGTCCCGTTTCATTTTAATTTGAGTCTGAAGATACCATGGATGTGATCGCTGCCACCGTTTGACAAAGAGCCGGCGCTCAAGCAACCAGTCCTCCACATGACATATCCTCAATCTATTCCTGCCCTCCCATTTCTTCTAAACACATGGTTTATGCAAATCAAAGCAAAATGATCTTGGGAATAGCGGCAATGTTTGAGCAATTTGAAGGCTGCCAATGGGAACTGGCATTAATATAAAATAAGCCAGGAGAGAAATCTCTTCTGCATATGCAGGTCTCATTGACTGTACCCAAATTAATTGAGCAGAAAGGTTATGAATGACTGTTTGTGCCAAAGTGCAGTCGCTTGTAGTGATATATGAAAGCATATTCACTCTGCATGTCCTGCTTGCTATGAGAAAGGTCATGCTATCATTTACATAATAGCAAATGCTTTGGAAATAAACCATTGCAAGAAAAAGGGGATGTTTTCTTTTGCTCTCCATATACGCCCAATATACATTCAACCTTTTTGAGATATCTGAATTTGAATTAAATAATATAAAATAATCCGGGAGGAAATTGGATTCTAATATGAGTTTCAAGTTGCATTTAAAAACAACTCCAGATAATTTAAAAAGCTGGAAATGGGGCGGAAAAGCTGGGATTCATCTGTCTCTGAAACAACCGTCCGATTGAATCTTGATGGATGGCAGTCATTTGTCCTCGTCAGCAAACGAACAATCGCGCCATAGAAATAGCCGTGCTATCAAACTTTCAGGACCGGCTCCGAGAACTGGCCGTTTGATAATCCCATTAATATATGATGATTATAAGAGGGGATTTGGGATTGTTCATTTTAGGGGTTTCTTAATGCCACATTATTATTTTATTTAGGGTAAGATTAAACTATAATACCCCCCGAGGGAAATTGGGTTGGTGCAGCAGGAAACAGTAACAGCCAAGACAACAAAGGATAGAACAAATCAAGAGTCTTGAATAAAATGTATGTATAGAAAAACAAAAATTCTATTTGGATAATTTGATTGAATTGGTAACAACTATCGTTTATTCTATCACTATTACAGACGTTGATGTGCTTTAAAAACACTTGTTATGTTCAAATAAAGGGGGTTTAGTCATCAGCTTACATTCTGGCATTGGCGCAAGCTAAAGAAATGTGCTACTTCCTTGTTATTTGGATAAACAGCACCCATGGGTCAGGCCGTAGTTTATATTTAAGGACATTGATAACGTGGTTCGCTTGGCCCTCCACTTTTTAATTTCTGTTCTTTCAAAAAAAAGTATTTACAGAATCCTAAACAAGCTTTCCTTCTGAACACTCCTCACAACCAAACCATTTGTTTCACGTGTCACCCAGCCATGCCAGATCTTTTTGGATGCCTTCTCTGTTTAGATGTAAATGGACAATTTAGTAGCACGATTTGAATCTTAAGAAACCCACAAGTAAAGTATCTCCTAGCAGTGTGTTGATGTGTTTGGTAAGTTTATTATCTGAAGCCATAACTGTTTTGTTAACTGATTCGGGAGAAAGAGTTTCAGTGGCACATAAAAGGAGAAACTTGAGCTTCCCCATTCATCCTCTGTGTTGGTAAACTTCCTTTAATTTACAACTCCAAAGCCCTGAAGAGCATCCAAAAGATGTCTAAAAAAAGGAAAAGAAAAAAGGTAATTACTATTTACTACTTCACATAAAACTCTTCCGGACTCTGTTTCAGTAGCCAATGTGGTCTACATTAAAAAGGCAACACATTCTCTTTAGTTTACACACACTCGGAGCCTTCTCATGTAAGGCTTGCAGTGTTATATTTCTATGTTTTGCCCAGATTTAAAGAAAGGTTACTCTCTGTCAAATCATCTCCCTCCCCTTTCATCATCAGACAAGGCACCGCTCTTCCAGACACCTTTTATGACCGAACTAATTACTAATTACACAAGTGGTTGGCCTGAGCCGCAGCACAACGCTGGCCCTTTGTTATTTTAATTGTTGTTATTTTGAAGAATGGCGCTTCAGTAAATTGTGCCATGGATGCCCTAGGAGGATGGATGAGCGCTGAATAATTGATCATCTTTGTGGAAACACACTCAGCGTGCGGTATGGGGGTTGCATAGCGCCGTACATCTCCATTCTTGTTACGGCGGCACTCGTTGGGGATTGATGACGAGGTATCCTTCATCGTGCGTCCACCTCTTCTCGCACCCCATCATTAGGACTCCCATTGTCGCCTGTTCATGGAGCGCTGGGTGAATATGACTGGCAGAGGTGGTCCCCCCCATGCTTTGACTAATTACTCGCCTCCTGATGGATTAATGTGTATTGTGTGAATCAGACAGACCCCCCTCTTCAGTGAGATGAGAGACGAGTGCGTCCTGATTCGGAGCTGTGCGGCATGCACAACCTTGATAATTATTTTCATAGATGAATACCATTGCAGGCAGGATGATGAAGTGGCCATTTGCGTTCAGAGACTATCAGAGGCAAACATGGAGCGGGGTCTTTGTCACTGGCGAGAAATCTACTCCCGCACAGACCTGCACGCCTTGTGTCGTTCCAACTTGCATTAACACACACTCTTGATTCACTATTCTGGAAAAATAACGCAATTTACATTCCCATTTATGCCATTTTATACAATTCTCAATCATTTCCTCCTATGGTAGTTGTAGCTTATGGCTGACTTTTATGATCTACATTTACATCCAGACGAGAGATATGAGGAGCAGCCACTCATCGCTTGTCATCCTTTCTTTTTGAGATTTTATTTGTCGAGATAAATCAAATAATCAATGGTTTTCATTAGCCAGGGCAAACAGGGGCTTTTAAGTACCCGTTTGGAAATTGTATTTATTTTCTTGCGTAAAGCTCCTTTCCCTTTTAGAGGCCCCTGTGTGATCATTGGTGTTGGACTGAAGATTTGTGAGGAGCCCCCGGCCAGAGCAGCGTTGGAGAGTAGATCACATAAAGCACGCTGGGGTTCTCCCGTCATAGCTTATTCCACTGAAACCATAAACTGTCTTCCTACACCTTCACAGGAGACACTGCAGCCACTTATAGGAAACTACTGATGGTTTTGTTTTTATTGGTTTAGAAATATGTTGTATTGGATAAACCTTGGTATTTCGTCTTTCAACATTTGTTTAGATTGTTTGCCTTTTGCTGCTTTTGTCTTATATAAAAGGGTAAAGAAAACGACCTACATGGTTTATAGGTACCACATATCTAATTACTGTATTTTTCATCAAAGTGTAGATCCTGCGTGTCCTATTTTCAATTTGTACTCTTCCCTGCAGAATTAAAGAGATTTACAGCATTTCACGAAAGCTTGGTAAATTGTTGCACAATGTTTTAAGACACGTGTAACCTTGAAGAACAACTAACAAAACTAACTCCAGGATAGGCCTATAGTAGGATGTTCTTTTTTTCTTTGCTTTTCTCGTGAGAACATTTAGTCCAAGTAAAATGACTGTTTGACTTGAGTCAGACAGTCAGGATTTACTCTCACTGAAGACCCGAGTGCATGTTGTTTTCCCTCCCCACCTGAGTTGCTAATCATTAACACATGAAAAGTTCATTTTGGAGCCGCCTAATGACACACAAACAGCTCTGCTTTGGGCTTAAAAGTCATTTAAATTAAAAACCTATTAAACTGGAAAATAAACAATTGCTCATCTAATTAGAAATCATCTTAAACCTTGTTTTGCCTCTAAGCCATGGGTAATGAATATTTTAGATTACATTTGATTTAAATAACTTTCAAAAATAAAAGTGATATGTTATATAGACGGGGACACAGTATACATGCACAATGCTGTAGCAGTGTCTCCTCATTTAAAGTTAACACTTTATTTTCCTTGAGCAGAATGATTTACTGACTGTAAAGGGAGATGTAAATTGCAAAAGAAAAGTGTCTGCTGTAGACATTGATTAATATCAGTAATGCTATCTTCCCCCCCCCCCCCTCCATGTTTGTAATGGCCTTCTCCTTATCCTGCGAGCCATGAGTCCTGACAAGAGGCATCCTGCTGGGCTTGAAATGAGCCTGGAATGGAAGCACGTGCCACAAAAGTGTGTGTGTGGAAAATGATCACGCTGACATTTGCTCATTCCACTGTGATATACCTCGTGCACTTCACCTTCTCAAAGAGAGGAGGAAAAACAAAACAATGAAAGGGAACACCTTATCCTCTGACATGGATATACTGTCATTGTCAAGTACAATGATTTGGGGTCTAAACTTGTCTTAAGTGAATGTTTTTAAAGAGTAATTCTGAGGGTTAAAAATAAAAGCCCAAACACAATGCTGTCTTTATGTCTGCTTGCTCGGACTGAGTGCTAATGCTGGGCTGCTATACCATGCTGGCTGGTAATTGCTAACACATGTGCTACCTCTGTCTCGCTGCAGCCGGCCGAGGGAGTTCTGGCGCCTGGACTACTGGGAGGACGATTTAAGGCGGCGACGTCGCTTCATCAGGAACCCCTCCGGATCCACTCACTCAGAGGCTACGCTCAAAGCAGTGGCCGAACACGGTCAGTCCCCTCCACCAATCCCCTCCTGTTGTCTTTTCTCACACGCTTAGTGGTAGCACCAGGTACAAGGTAATAAAAGTTAGTCGTCCCGTAGCAATAAAATATTTATTGTACCACAAGACACTGTGAAATTTAAATGAGTACTATTTTACTAAGGTAATTTTACACTCTGCTTCCCATTATGCAAAGCTGGGCTAATAATCACCCTGAATGTCAGCATGCTTAGTAAAAACAAAGTTAAAATTAGTGGCTTCAATTGAGATGAAACGTGACATTTGTTCATTCTTTTTTTCTGCTGCATAACAGTGGCTGATATCAGTGGTAAGTAGCATTCATACTTCCTCCTTTACTTGTATGCAATATTTCTTTATTATTTATGTGTTTGCATTGGAACAACAGGTCATTAGGGGATTTATGCCTGTTATGCATTTACTAGCATAATATTGTGATTGATCAGAGGTTAAAATATGTTCCTTATCATACTCAAAATCTTATGGGTTGTGTATAACATTTTTAAATGTAATGTCATGAGTTGTATTACTCCTTCAGATTAACTATTTAACTGGTGAAGCGCAAAGTGATGTCTACCAAAGCTTTTATTTGAAATAGAGTCCACATTGTACTTGCAGCCCCTTAAGATGTGAGAAAATGTAATCTGGTTTGAAAAAACTCTGTCAATATTCCCGTAGTAAATTGACCACATTGATTACTTTTTCCTCAAGATTTTAAATCGGACCGATCAATTTCTCATTGTTTCTGTGCACTCCCCTATAAAGACAGGTGCTGATTTCTAATAAACCTCGTCTGAGAACAATTTAACATTCCCAGGAGTCCCTTATACCCACAAAATCTAAATGACACATGTCCCTGCATTAGCAGCAGTAGGAGTCGCATTTCTCTCATGTAATCCCACATATCTGCAAATATAATGATTCTACACACATCAGGGTTTGCAATCATCATCATGCTGGGTCTACATTTACCAGATCAATATTTGATTCCCTCAAATAAATGGCCATTTCTGGACCAAAATGTCCTCCATGTGTCACCTGTTAAAGTCCCCTTAAATGTGACATCATTCCAAAAGACAGCAGGTGTGACAGAAGTCAATACAAATGTGATATTAAAGCAATAAGTGTGGGGGATCCTGGGAGAGTTGTGCTCTGCAGTAATGGCTGCAGTGTGGAGGCAGCTGGAGACGCAGCCAGCTGCTCGCTGTTCTTCTGCAGCTAGCCTCTGAAATTTACTTTGTTTCCATCTTAATTCCTCCTGGTTTTCCCTTCAGTTAGCTCATGACAGAAAACAGACACATCACTTTTTACCCTCTTATTGACTTCTTCTGGCTGATGAAAATGTGTTAAAAGCTTTCTGTGAGTTCGTCATTCAGGTGTTTTGTCTGGTATTTAATTGTATTCAAAACGATTTCAGCTTATGTGCTTTTTTTCACCGGGGGAAGAAAGACAAATTCCTGCAAACATTTGGTTTCAAAGTGAAGTCTGTCCTAAAATAGCCAGCAGCCAGTTGTGGCAAGGGTATGCTACCTCAAGAGAGTGTACCGCCGGGCTGAAGTATGGGAATATATCATTAAAATAACTCTTTGACATTGAAGCCTGACGGCATCCATTTTCTGATGTAACCTTTCGTCTTGTTTTAGTCGACCCGACATTTGTTACGGAAGTGCAGCTCAAGATGAGAATGCAGGGCTGAGTTTTCAAACAGAGCACAAAGGTCATATCTGGCTGTAATTATATTCATCAGATGCAGAGGGGAGAATGCAGTCTAACCCCCTAAGAAAATATTTAGTATGAGATCAAGCCTGAATTTACTCTTGTTTTCTAGCTACTTGTTGCTGCACTTCTGAAATCTCACGCTTGATTATAAAATTAGAAGCAATGGAAAATATTTAGCATTTTATACTGGGTGATCTATTATGACAACGTGGTATTTTCTCCTCTTTTTTTAGAAGGGGGAAATGTACATCTTTTCATTTAGACATGGAGGAAAATGTGAATTTCTGCATTAATAGTAGGACAACTGTTATCATTCATACTGCGCCAAGATGATTTCCACAGGAGAGTGTGTGGCTGCCAGTAGGCTTGAGTAGGCTGTTCTGTATTTGCCTGGAAAGAACCATCTTTTCTGGGGATTGATTTGGTCTGGTCCAGGGCCTGTGTACCAGAGGTGGCAGAGTAAATACCTGAAGACTAATGTCTCTGTTCTGGTAATCAATACTCGCCTCGTGACCACACTCCTGGCTACGCTCCCGTTAAAAACAAATTTGTTAATTTTGACAATTTAATTGCTGCGACCATGCATGCCTTGAGTTGTATAAGCAGGTATTTGAACCTCTCAGTCGGGAAATGGGGTCTAGGAAAAAAGTGTAACCTGTTGGGATTTATGCACGTTTGTGTTCCCTGCGTGTTGAGTGATGAGGTTGAAGTGCACTGCCGGATTTCTGTTAATGTGGCACGCCTGTTCTTTGCATGGATTGTTTATCATGATGATCTTTTTAAATAGTGCTTTAATTTAAATGACGTTTTAAACAGTGAGTAATTGTTCGGAGTTTCCCTCTAAATGTTGTATTTATTGTTTTCACTGCCATGGATATTAGTAAAATGTATAGCATTTAATTGTAATTCCTTATGTTACACACACACACAAATAGACACATACACTTTATTTGCTTATATCAGGGGTCTTCAACGTCTTTAAGACCAAAGAGCCCTTAGCTAAAAGAGAGAAGGAACAGGGACCCCCGCGCTATATAGGTATACAATTGAGTTGCATATGAAAGAGGGTTACAATACCATGTACGGAATACCTTTTATGGTGCTTATACTACTAAACTATTAAAATAGTAATACCTAGCTCTAGCGAACTTGATTCTTTAAATAAGTGCCACAGGGATTTAGCACCAGCTTGCTCATGTCATTGCCCAAAGATCCATGGGTAAACGTGAGACTATCACACATGTTGTTTAAGAGGAAATGGATTGTTTTTGTCCTTTTTTTATGCATAGACATTTTTATCTTTTCTAATATGTTTGATTCATGTTGCGTGTATTTTCAGACACATCTTAAACAACATTATCGGACAATAATTTAGCAGCTCCCCTGCAGTAGCACTGAGGACACCTTGGGGACCACGGCCATGTTAAAGACCCACGGTTAAAACCAAATGATAACGCTAAAATTAGGGCATTCCCTTAACACACGCACACATAGAAAACGTACAAAACTGCCAAAATCCTCAGTTGTCAAACTACAAGAATAATAAAAATAAACAGTATGCATGAACGAGTGAGAAGTTAGCACATAGCCTGTCACTTATGAGCTCATTTATTTTATGTGTGTCATAACTCTGGTGAAAATAGCTTTTTTCTTGCTGTTCTCAAAGACTCAGCCCAACAACAAGCTGACTGGTCGATATTTTGGTTGCACTTCCTTCAGTGTATACTGAGGAACTATTTTTACCTTGTACTTTAGAAGGAGCATTGACCAGACAATTACGAGGTTTAGTTACAACAGACTGTTTTTCTAATGTTTGATACTGATGTTAGACGTACAGTACTTGCAAATTAGGGTAAGAATTACTGAGCATGTTTACAGTGAAATGCAAAGAAGTTCAAACATGTCCGTATTTTAAGCTCATGATAAGTCCCCTGTCCACTTGCCTGGTGTGAATACAATGGCATGTGGTACGTATTAGAGGAGCTGGTAGTAATTTTGGTGCTGCTAACTAAAGAATCCTCCAGGGAGGCTTAATTACAGGAAGACCATTCTAAATATCACCGAGCTGCATATTTTCCATGACAAGAGATTTTTTATCCTGGCTGGTAGTTTCAACGTATATAGCCACATGACACGAGTGTGCATTTCCAGGCAGTGCAATTGATCTCCCCTCAGGTGATGATTAAAAAAATCCACTAGGTATTAGTTTTATGTTTAGCGTCGCACCGGATGATTTAAACTGTGTTTTTAGCAGTATGCTGCATTAGAAACCTGCACAGAAGCAGCGAAAGCGCTCTTTATATTGCCAGCTATGTTTACAGAGAGCTGTGCTGTGGACTTGTGTCTGTGGATCCTTACCATGCACCTCTGGGGAATGCAAGGCTCCGTAAATGTTTGCAGATTGCCATTTTTCTTAAATAATCCAGTTGGAACCTGAAGTCACGTTGAGTTGAACTCAAAATTGGAAGTGTGCGACCTTTGTTTAAGAAAAATTTATTTTGACTAACAATTTGTAAAATGGTGTCTGATTGGATGCTTTCTAATGACAACATGCATTACATGTTAGGATTATGTTGGACTTTTGTGTGCCTCGTTTTCAGTTTGTCTGCTTGCACGTATATCTGCAAATCTGGCAATGCAACACAGGTCAACATTGACAGGTCAACACTGATGTAGGTTTAATAGCAGTGCTGATGGACTTTGCAAACAGTTTTACTACCTGACAGGAATAATATTCCAAGATAATGTGTTACAAAGTTCATAACCTAAAATACTTTACTCAAATCAATGTGCATTTTATTGTGTGTAAATTAAAGCAATTCTGAGAATATAGCTTTGTTAATATTATGATAATAATGATTTGAATGGACAGTCTTCTTTTTATTTAACACTACACACTCGTAGCCTTGCTGAAGTTTAAAAAAGGGCAGCAGATAAATAAAATAAATAGAGCAAAACTGCTTTTTAATTCTCAATTTAATTGACATTTCCACTCATTGTTTACTGTTTGTATAATTTGTTTTATGCAGAGAAGATGTCTTTGGCGCTTGGTTAAAAACTAATTCTGCTCAAATGTGATAATTGAAATATGCAAGCCGTCAAATCTGCACTAAAATAAAGTTAACATGTCTTTCTAGACCTACAACATAATTTGAAATATATTGAACACTCTATATAACATACATTAAGACAAAAATAAAAATAAAAGCCTTTCCCCACTGCAGCATCCGAGGAAGATATTCTCAAAGGAAAGCAGTCCATCAGAAGTCAGGCTCTGGGAAATCAAAACTCTGAGAGTGAGACGTCACTCGACGGAGACGATGACACTCTGTCATCTCCAGAGGAGAAGGACCTGGAGAACTTTACAGGTAAAGTAACAGCTCGTCTTCTTCACCTCGCCCTATTTCTCACCCCTCCCTGTCCTGCAGCCCAGACAAAATAAAGAAGCATGCTGTCATTTTCAAATTGCTTAATATCCAACACATGCAGCTCCACTGTTTAGCTGTACTGAATAATGTTTTAAATATCACTTTTCATATCATAGTAGCCTTTTGTATATACTTGTAGCATTGCAGACTCCTCCTTACTTAGGGAAAACCGTCTTTTAAAGAAAGCCTTAGGCGGCAGTGCCTCTGGAAAACTGTTTTATTATAGCACCACTATGTGTTGATGAAAACACACCTTTTATGTGTGCCACTGGAGGTGTGCTTCACAAACATATATACACACAGGCCTGAGTAGCACCTCTCTACAACATGTTTTATCCTGCAGTAGCTGAGTTTATCCATAATGCTTACCCTGGAATTGGACATTATCTGATCAAGAAAAAACTGCATTGCCCAATAAAACCTATGAGCCTTTTAAACTCATTAAATGACTCGAATACAGCTTTATATTCTATTTAATCCAGCTCACGATGATGTCAGTCCATTTTTGCTTTTGATCTGTCTGCTTTTTAAAGAATATTAATTAAATATAATATAGTCCGCTAATCGGATTGCACTGTAATCCGCATTTGTGCAGTGACAGCGCTCACCAGATTTAGCTGCTTTAATGGGGCTCAGAGAGCTATTAAAATAACGCAACTGGAGGACAATAGGATTAAACGTTGAATCCTGTCTAATAAAGTGATGTGTATACTGCGAGAGAGTGGGGATCGTATAGGGAGAGGTTCAGTTTCTCCTCTTAAGCAGCTGTCTGCTTCAGGTGTAATTGAATGTCTTTGACTGAATGAAAACAAAAAAATGTTATTTCAACCCACGGATAACATGTCAGTTCTCTCGGGGTTCGCGAGAGGCAGAGGAGTGAATATATATATATATGTGTGTGTTTATTCCATCCGGAGTGTGCGGGTGCTCAGGGAAATCAGGCCGGGCTGCGAGCCTCCTCTCTTCGCAGCGCATCTGCAGATACAATGGCTCATATGTGGAGCCGCAGACTCACTGCTCCCCTGAGCCGAGGCGCATTGTCATACTGGCATAAATTAAGATTGATGAGAGATTAAACAGAGATTCACCCAGCAGCCCGCAATCACTGCAATGTGATTGACAATTATTTCGCTAACTTTGACAATCTTTATCATGTGATTCATTGTGAGTTTTAGGATACTAAGGCCTGTGATATTTTATTTCGGGAACTGTCGAGCATATTAAACAGTAGGCCTATCCATATTGGGCTTTTGTTTTGATTTTTAACTCATCGAATAATTGCAGAATGCTGTTTGTAAACTACACACGATGTTTGAAGTAGCCGTACCCTTTAGCCTCGCTATGTAAACATCCTGCAACTCCTATGCAAAAATATTTGTAATATAAACGTAGTTTTTGCGTGAAACAGTCTCAACTTTTAAAAGAACATGGCTGTTTATTGCTTGTTGTTTATTCACTTATCATGTTTTCTTAAAAAATTACCCACGTCCAGGATTGAAGGCTCACACGGTTTCTAACTATTATCGTTGTAGGCAAACAGCCAGCAGCTCTGCGATCCCTTATTGAGTTTAAAAGTGTACCCTACTGTGTAAAACAACCGTATGTGCCCACTCGGAGAGGAGGACTCTTTGCGTGTTTCTCTGACCGGCCTGTGTGTCCTGCAGGCCCGGTAAACCTGAGCACCAGTGCCCAGCTGGTGGCTCCGGCTGTGGTGGTGAAAGGCACCCTGTCCATCACCCCCTCCGAGCTCTACTTCGAGGTGGACGAAGACGATCCGAGCTTCAAGGCCATCGATCCAAAGGTAAGAGACCCGAGCTCCATTCACGTCTCATATTAACGTATTGAAGCCATGTATGTGCCGGTAAATGCTTCATGCAGGCTGGTGAATGCATGAGTTATAGCTCTATGACTACGTGTGTTTTTTTAAAAGGTATTTGTTGTGCGTTTCCAACTTTCTTAACATTTTTAATTGTGAAGAAGAACAACAATGTTATATCCATCGGTTGTTGAAGTTAAAACGTGACTTATTTGAATTAAAATTGTGAACATTTCCTTTGCATGATTTTTTTTCTCTTACCACTACTTTTGTTATTGAATAAAAAACAACTGTGTCTTTTTTCTTGATGTATTGTAAAGTACCCTAAATTCAACAAAACGAAAGCATATCATATTGTTTCGTAGTGAAACTGTTTTTTGTAATTAATTAACAAATTAACCAAATGTCTTTATGGGTTAAACTTAACGCGACATGGATCAGGCCTTCCCATTATTAAATGTCGTGTAGCAATTTTTCCTTTCGTAAAACTATTTTAAAAAAGTACAATTGCAAGTTAATATGGTTAGAAAATGTGGACGAGTCAGGACGACTATGGGTAAATCAGGTCGTTAGTTCCAGCACTGGCCTCATGTTGACTACAGAAGAAGAATGCTGACCCACAGGTGGTTGTGTTTGTTCAGTTTAACAGTGCGTACAAATTGTCGTATTTTTTTGCAAATATGTGTTTTGTTTTTAGAGTTCTTCATTTTGAAAGCATCTACCTTTATTTCAATTTCATATTTATATGAGTATCCATTTATATTAACATGACAATAAAGGAGTCGTAGCCTATTGCCTATGATACACGGTGTTATCCAAATATATAACGCATAAATCAGATGAAGGCTTTCGTTTTGCTGCAGGCCCCGTGCTGGTGCTGCTGCTGTTCAAACATAGAGAAGCTCCCGGGCCTATATATTAACACGAGTCCGTTGATTTACATTCATTCGAAAATCCTTTAGAGCCTGTGACGCTGTAAAAATAACGTATGGCCCGAAGCTGGCTGTGCACATTCCTTCTTTAAATGTAGCAAAAGCCATTCTTTAGTAGCCTATGTGTCTGTTTATCTGTGTTATTGTGTTGCACTGTTGGAGAAGCCTGTGACCTAAGATTTTCATTGGCATAACTACACTGTAGCTATGTTCGTATGGAATAAATAAAAAACCTTGAACCTTGAGTGTTAAGCACACGTCAACTATCTTTCGTCAAAATGAATAATTGAATGACTCTCTTCACCAGACAATAGCAACAATAAAATGCAACAGCTTCGCCTGTCACCTCAGCTGTCAAAACACGTCAAGACACGAGGCCAAGTTGTAATTTAATTTGCAACATTTTTATTAACATTTCTTTTTAAAGTCACATAATGAAAAAATGGAACTTGGCACGCTACATTGTATTCTTTCACTTAACGATTTTGTGCATATATTTAAATAAAAGTTTCTTCACTTTGTGAAAACATTTAAAGAAGACAACTAAAAGTTATTACATTTATCTGAAAATGTACCTTCACTTTGTCTCTGGCAGTGGCCCAATTGCTCCATTTAAAAATGGTTTTGTGGTTTGCTCGCTGCATTATTTTCTTACTGATTTGTTTTTGTTCACATTGCTTGGAGAATCAGTTGCAGGATGATCTTTGTCTTTGTCTTAAGTTTTATCCCAAAATGTCTCTCGGTTCTGTGTCGACAATCACTTTATAGTTTGTCCAAACTTTTAGCATTGGTGAGGATTTCCCTCGCTAGTCTCCATGCCTGCTTCGCAGCAGCCTCCAGGGCTGAGTGAGGCTTTCCCTGAAACAAGTCCAAGTTTGGCAAGAAGTAGTGGGGACATCTGCGGCATTGCAGGCAGGATATGAGCTGCAACAGGATGCCGTTCAGTCGGTCTCCGAGGCAGGACTCGTCCCAGTCGGTCTCTCTCGGGTGTTTCTCGCACTCGTACAGCAGCAGGGTCTTCATGTGGTAATTTTGCAGCGGCTGTCCCGGCAGCTCCAGGTGACGGTCCCTCAAAGTCTTCAGCACCGACAGACACTTCTTCCTGCAGCCGGCCATCAGCAGCCTGTTCTCGGCCTCGCTGAACTGCAGAACCCAGGCGTCGCTCTCTGCAGAGCTCTGCTTCCCCGTCAAAGAGTAGCACTCTTTGGAGAGGAGATTAAAACCCTCAGCTTTACATTCTGCTACCCGGTTAGGACCGGGCCATGGGATGTGGGGCATGGGCCACTGAGCTGCACTTCTAGGCCAAATCCCAGTGCACTTGAACGCGGGGGTGATCTGCACCACATACCTCTCCCTGATCCTTAGTCTGACCTCGCTGGTGTCCGCCACCATCTTTACCACGTCGCGGTAGCTGCATTTATCCACGGCCTGCGCCACCAGAGTCTGAAACCTGGAGCGGATCTTTCTGGCGGAGAGGTAGCCCGAGGCGGTGATGAACTCGACCCACAGCGACATGCTCCTTTTACGGCCATCACTCAGCTTCAGCACCGCGCAGCCGGGCAAGGAGCCGTCATCCACGAAGTTGAACACCCCCATTTGGTTGAGGTAAAGCACCACCTCAAACTCATTGGGGGAGATGACCTCCATCCCCTCAAAGCGTGCATCTATCTCACTGAGGGAGCTGATAAACCGGGGCTCCTGCACTTCCACCTCCTTCAGGACATCTGACACCACTTTACAAACCTCCCTTATAGTCTTCGCAATGGCCGCTTTGCGAGCTTGGCATCTCTCGTTGTTGTATTTGTTGAGCTGGTAAACCAGCTTTGCCTGCGTCGCTATCATGTTGGGGCACAGGTCCGGGCTGTACACCGGGGAGTCGCAATAGGTTGAAGGATCCAACGCTTACCGGTAAAGCCAGAGGCAAGCGCTTCCCTGTGCAGCAAAAAGTGTATAATCAAAAGTTATTTGGCTGAAAGCAGCGGATGGACGTCAGTGTGAGGAGGAGGAAACGGATAGGGATGCAACCTATTAGCCTGCTAAATATCAGTCCAACTCATCAGCAGCGTTAGGTAAAGTCATATTCGGGTGGAGGGTCACCATCCGTGTCCTGGGCTGCAGACGCTAAAGGCTAAAAACATCGTCTGTGACTCATCTCCTCTTGCAGTTAGTCTCTCCTCTGTGCTCACTTTTCGTCCACACTCAGCTGTGAGCTGGACTTGTGTAGTTTATGAATGGTTCCTTTAGCAAGAGTGAAAGGGGTCGGGCTTCGGCTCCTGCAATCATGTGCAGAGCTGTCAGTGCCGGCAGCCAATCAGATCAGAGGAGCTCCAGTCCGCCTCGGCAGCATCGAGGCGCGCGGAGCTGTCCTCTGCTCCCATTTCGACACAGGAAAACAAAACCCTTTCGGTTTATACGGGCAGATTCCAGTTTACACTCTCTAAGCCAGCCGTAAAACAAATTCTGTGTTGGTCTTCACCCGTATTTTCGCTCGGTGCGTTTTGAGGATTAGGAGTGTTGGCACAGTGTGAGTGCAGCCTTTAACTTTAGACCCACTTGTTTTCTGCAGATAAATCTCGGTTTTTTATGTCTCATGTTTTAATTTGATTATGTTTTCCGTGATTTTCCTCATCTTTCAAATGGTCTGTAATGGCAGCGTTTTTTCTCTAATTGACAGCAAGTATTATTTATTCTACATTTTTACGAAGTCTGGTATCTGCCTTATTCTTATAAATATAAATCAGTTTTAAGTGTGATTTTCCCCATTTCGAATTATAAATCTAACACAAGGTTAAGTCAATTGGTAACATAATTTGTAAATTAAAATTGAGTGGAATAAATAAACAGTGTTTTACATGCATCTTCATTTGAGGTCAATTCTAATGTATATTTGTATGGACACCTATTTTATCTTTAACGTTCGTGCAAAATTGTATATTTTTCTTTAACTGATGAAGATATATCATGCTGTTTTATATTGTTAAGCATTGATACTTTTATTAATAAGTTTAAAATGCTATGTGTTGAGTGCACCTGCAGCTATATGCTCAGAAGCCTTCATTCAGGGGCTGAAACTATAAACAGAAATTCAGACAAATTAACGTTAGTGGCACCTGCCAAGCTCGCACACACACACACACACACACACACACACACACACACACACACACACACACACACACACACACACACACACACACACACACACACACACACACACACACACAACACACACACACACACACACACACACACACACACACACACACACACGATTTCTTCACATTTCATTGAACATTTAGTGTTATCAAGACAGTCGGTATTTATTGGATTTAGTCAAATAGGCCTAACTGAAACACGACTTGTATCCGCTGCTTCCCTTACACGCACGCACGCGCACACACGCGCACACACAGAGACACCAGAGTTAATTTTCCCGTCGGTTTATCGCTGTGAACCTTGTCCTACTGAATAATTTAAGCAGAGGTCTCTCCGAGATTGTAATTGAAGTCCTCTTGTCACCCAGACTTCACGTTGGAGGACTAAAGAAGTCATTACATTCTCCCACAGACACTCCGCTGCGGGTTGAGACATATTTACACATGTAAGCATGCTGTAAATATAACAACCCCCGCAGTGTAAAAGCCATGCGAAATGTTAAAAGTCGAAGTATTGTTGCAGTATTTGCAGTCCTTTGACACGTGTCTGATTTTCCAGTTAACGAGGTAGCGGTCATTAACGGAGTCTCGCGCAACATTATGTGGAGCTAATTGGATGCTATTTTTAAGCCTGGCTCGCTGGGCTTTAGTTAAAAACGCGTTTTAATTTCAAGTGATCGTTTTGATTATTGGACCAAACCTGGAACGTATTCACCGACATAGAAATTACAACTTTTCTATTTAATGTATTGTGGTTATTTCAGAAAATAATTTAGGCCTATACAGTAACACGTGAATATATTGCAGTGTTGATCACAGACAATATGGTCTACTAAAGAGACCTAGACCTTAAATAAAATGTCGTTATATTTTCTTTGCTCCTGTTAAGCTGCATATA